GTAGACCTGCAAGCATTAATGGAGCAGTTGAATAATTTGACAAGCGTCGTCAAACAACCTCCGTGACGAAAACCAACGACTTCGCCAGGCGCAGGAAAGGCGTTCAGAGGAGCCAGGCGACGATGCACGAAGCGAGGCGCGTGAGCAGCAACCGACACCAGTGGAGCTGGCACGGCTAGCGGCGACAGCCCCGCGCTCGACAAGTGGCGGCGTGAGATATCAGCAACCTGCTCCTTTCGACCCAGCTAATAAAGGCGTGACGGTGCGGCAGTGGATATTCGCCATGAATATCTACTTTAACGCGGCGGGCATCCGAGACGACCAGAAGCGGATCGGCCACGCGTTGACACTGCTGCAAGGGGCCGCCCTACAGTGGTGGAAGGTCATCGTCGACTCAGCGGCAACTCGCACAGAAGGACAGCATGAGTGGTCCGAAGAATTCGGCGACGAAGATGAAGCAGATTTGCTGTTTGGTACAACTCACATTCGCACGTGGGCAACGTGGTGCGCAGAGCTTCGGAAGCGGTTTGAGCATGCTCCTGACTCAGACAAAGCGCGCGAGACTCTACGCATGTGGAAGCAGCTGGGAGCTGTGTCCGACGACACCGCGTCATTCTTGACGTTGGTGGATCGCTGTGGCTACATGCACGAGTTGGAGAAGGTCGACAGGTACATGGGCGGGCTGAAGCCTGAAATACAGACCCAGATAAAATTACAACGACCTGTGAAACGGTTACAAAACCAACTCGCTGAAGACGCTGATTCGCTCACGAAGCCGAGGACAAACTTCTACGACGGAGGTCGCCCTCGAGAACAGTACCAGCGCACCACGATAAAAAGGATGGACGCAGTGGACATTTACGCAGTTGCTCCGCGAAATACGGGGCTATGCTACCACTGTGGCCGACCGGGTCACATCAAACGCAACTGCCAAGAGTTCATAGCCATCCAGAATTCTATGGGGAAGAAGCCGGAGGAGCGACCGGGAAATGGGTCGCGTCAGTAAGTACCGGGCCCCTTACTGACGGGCAGGCTTCTTCGCTCAAACCACATAGTCCCCACCGGGTCGTGATCCCGATTGCTGCAATCGACCGTACCCGGACGAATAAGGGGGACGAAACTGCTGATCGCCCTGTGTTGGTGGAGGGTAAAGTCAACGTCGCCGATAACAGCGGAAGATATCACGAAGCTGTGTGAAGCCGTTCCTCCGAATTTAGCGGAACTCATTCGAAAATACCCCGAGATTTTCCCGGACGACCTACCCACCGGACTTCCGCCAAGCCGACCTGAAGACCATCGCATCGAACTGGAACCCGGCGCACAACCGACAGTTCAGCGACAATTTCGCCTCAGCCAACCGGAACTCGATGAATTGCAGCAGCAGTTAGATTACCTCATGACGAAAGGTTTTATCCGCCCAAGCACATCCCCATACGCCGCCCCCATACTGTTCACACCGAAAAAAGATGGCGGATTCTGTATGTGCATCGACTACCGCGCACTCAACCGCATCACCATCAAGTCCTGTTACCTAATCCCGCGAGCCGACGACCTACTCGACCAACTTTGCGGAGCCAAGTTCTTCTCGAAAATCGATCTGCGAGGAGGTTACCACCAAATCCGCGTCGCCGCCGAGGATTGCCACAAGACCGCCTTCCAAACCCGCTACGGTAGTTACGAATACCTGGTGATGCCCTTTGGACTCACGAACGCGCCCTCGACCTTCCAGATGACCGTGAACGGAGTTTTTCGCGAACTCCTGGATAAATGCATTATTATCTACCTCGACGACCTCCTAATATACAGCCGCAGCAGGGAGCAGCACTTAAAGGATCTTGATGCTGTCTTCACGCTGCTGCACAAGAATCGCCTCATCACGAAATGGTCTAAGTGCGACTTTCTTAAGCAGGAGTTGGAGTTTTTGGGCCACGTCGTCTCTACCGAACGCGGTAAAATCGACCCAGGAAAATCAAGACCATACAGGAATGGAAGCCGCCGACCAACCTCAAGGAACTCCAAAGTTTTCTGGGTTTTGTCAACTACGTCCGCCGCTTTATTCCCAATATGGCTGGGTTATCTGCACCGCTAACCGACCGATTGAAGGATCACGATTGTTTTTGGTGGGGTGAGAAGCAGCAAGCTGCATTCGATCAACTCAAAATCGCCCTCACGTTGCCGCCCGTCCTTCGCATCTCCGATCCCAACCGTCCATACGAAGTCGTCACCGACGCCAGCGACATCGCCATCGGTGCAGTTCTCCTCCAGGACTTCGGCGACGGGTTAAAACCAGTCGCCTACGAATTACGGAAGCTGCGGGGAGCGGAAAAAAACTATACACTCAACGACTAGGAAATGCTGGCGATCGTCCACGCGTTCAAGACCTGGCGGTGCTACCTGACCGGAGCTGATGTCACAGTGCGGACGGACCACAAAATCCTTACAGTACCTGCGCGCCCAACCGAATCTCAACCCACGACAGATCCGATGGCTCGATTTCCTCGAGTCCAACTTCCACTACACCATCACCTACAAACGGGGTGCCAATAATATCGCCGATGCCTTGACCCGCCCTACTGTCCATACCGCTGCGATACTAATCGCCCAGACCAACCCATTACTTACGGGACTATTCACCCACGGCTACAAGATCGATCCCTTTTTCCGCTCAGCCATCCATCAACAGCATACCACAGCCACCGGGCCATATTTTTATAAGCGTGGTACTTCTCACATTTGGGTGCCAGGCTACGATTTACTTCGTACCCTCCTAATCCAGGAATCCCACGACAACCCTACCTCGGGACATTACGGCGTCGATAAAACGACGAAGATGTTGCAGCGGAATTACTACTGGCCGAACATGGCCGATGACGTGCGCTAGTACGTGTCCTCTTGCACTACCTGCCAGATCATGAAATCGTCGCATCAGCGAGCAGCCGGACTACTACAGCCGTTGGATCCGCCCGAGTGACCCTGGCATCATGTCACGATGGACTACGTGACAGGACTGCCGGCCGGCCCCAGCGGAAACGACGCCATCCTCGTGGTCGTTGACCGACTCACAAAAATGGCGCACTTCATCGCCTGCCAACAGACAATCACCGCCGAACAAACTCCGCAGCTGTTCATCACGAACGTCATCCGCCTGCACGGACTGCCCTCCGCCATCATTTCAGACCGAGACCCAAAATTCACATCGAATTTCTGGCGCCACCTGTGGGACCAATTCGGCACCAAACTCAAATTTTCATCCGCCTACCACCCACAAATCGACGGGCAGACCGAACGCGTTAACCAAACCATGGAGTAGCTCATTCGCACCACCTGTACTGACCCATCGACATGGGAGAAATCTCTTCCGCTACTAGAATTCGCGTATAATAACGCGACCTCAGCCACAACCAATCAATCCCCATTTTTCCTCAACTACGGACAAGACCCGGTAGTACCCTCTACACCGAACATCGAGTCACCAGTGCCCCGGTCCCAGAAATTTGCTGAAGACATTCTCGCCACTCGCGACAAAGCAGCTGAGGCCATTCGGAAAGCTAACCTGGTCGCAAGCCGACAAGCCGATCGACATCGACGCGACGTCATTTACAAAGTGGGAGATCTTGTCCTCCTCGACACTCGCAATTTGCGACTGCCGATCCCAAGCAAACTCCGACCCAGATTCTGCGGACCTTTTCAAGTGACCAACCTCGTGACACCTGTCACTGTCCACCTTCGGCTCCCGGCTGATTGGCGCCATCACCTGGCTGTCCACGTCAGTCTTCTACGACCCTACGTCCCGAGTTCGTCGGATTTGGCACGCAACCGTGGTGTACCACACCTGACGCCTTTGCAGGAACCGACGACCGAGCCCTTGAAAATTCTCGGCCATCGCATCACCACGCAGCTGAACCGTCGGATGGTTGATTTCCTCATCCGCTGGCGCGATCGCACGTCCGAAGACGATAGTTGGGTGCCCCTCGCTGATCTAGAATCACATCCGATTCTAACGGCATATTACCAGCGTCGGAATGTCTCCGATGCCCACGGTCTCGTTTAGGAGGGGGGGGGGTAGTGTAAGGAATTTCCATTCCTTACTGAGTCGCCCGCTACCGCGTACACCCGAACACTTCGACTCATCACGTTCGGCCTACATTTTCGGCCCAACCCTTTCTCGAGTTGTGCCCGACAGCGTCGCCACATTTGCCGAACCTACCCACGTCCCGAGGTTATCGCCCTATTACGTCCACTCCTATATAACCTTGTGCTTTCATGGCAATAGTGACGACGTATTCTCATCATAGTACATTGACATCTTCTAAATCATAACAAATATGGTGATGAAAACATCACGTTGTAATGGTGGTATAAAGCTTAATCGAACATCGAATGTAGTTAACCTCTTTCGATTGACCTCGGGCACCGGTACAAGCATCTTGCCCTGCACCTGCTCTCCCTTCTCCTTCCAGTCCTTCGCTACAAGAGCAACGGCTTTGACAATACTTTGGTTCTCTCTTCCCTCCCAGCCTTCAATTCTCGCTTCCCCTGTCTCTCACAGATCTCCCACCTAAAACCCTCTCAGAATGTCAATGGTGGCCCAAGTATATGGAGCCCTGTTGCGATTGGTGTTTCCTGACTTTCCTAGTTAGCGTCAACGTTTGGGTTACGCCTTAAGCTGAGTTTGCAGTCGTGCGAGGCTTACTTTCCTCAGTGACCGTCACTATGCTGCCGCTGGATAGAATGGTGAGTCCTGATTCGCAGTTTTGCACACTCGCTGCTTTCCAATTCTTTCGAAAACATCGTCTAACCATCAGTTAGTTTCGCCTTCGTTTCCTGTCGTGTTTTGTGTGAAGGCCTTCGGACTTGAACCTCCCAGATCAGTGTTTCAAGTGGACGCCAGTTGATTCTATTCGGGATGGCACCGATTTGGTTTCTGTCGGACCTTTATCCGCAGATTCCGTATCTTCCAGGTATATTTTCGAGGTAGTTGTTCGTCTATGCTTTCGTTTCCTCCTTCCAAATTTATTGTGTCCGCGTCTCATTTTCAAATGGTGATCTTTCTCAAACTCACTGGGTTCCTTCACGCCTACCCGTTGAGTTCTTTCGACCCTTAAGATCTGGTAATGTTTTTCCTTCAAGTTATGTCGCTTCGTCTCGCCTCTGTGATTATGCAAACTGTTATTAGCTCTAGCTGATAAGCCGTGATGAGCAAAACTAGATATCCATCGGATGAGAGGCGCTGACTCAAAAGCTCCACCGTCTGTCTTCGTCTCTTGTTCTCACTCACTCTATCCTTTCTCTCACTCTCTCTAAAAATTTTCCTGGGAAAAGCAGAGGGTTTGAGTTGGGGGCATTCGCGCCGGCGTCCCCCTGGGATTGCATGTGCGCATTGCCCGCTCTGCTGCTGCTGCTCTCCTTCCCGCCGGTGGTAACCACCGTAACGGAAGCCGCAGCAGCAGTAGCAGCTGCTGCCAGCGAGGATCCCCACCCTCCCGTCATCCCCAGGCAGACCAGCCTGAAGCCTCGCATGTGCTTGGAAGCCTCGCCTTCATGCATTCATGTGATGCCTTCTGTGGTTTTGTCCCTCTGTGCCCTCTCCTTGCTGCCTCTGGTGGCTCGTGGCTTGCTGGACGGGGGATCCGCCATACATTGCCTTGAATCCCTCGCAGTGGTTTTAGCGCTTCCCATCTTTCTCTCTTCCCTTGACGTCATTTCTCTCCCTTGCCCTCGCCCTTCCTCTCCTCTTCATTACCACGCCTTCCACCAAATCTCAAGGTTTGAGACCAGTGATTAGATCACAGTTTCAATTAACCATCTTTCGGGACATATCGAGGGTTAACCACCCTCATGATGATGTCAGCTGACGAATGAGGTCTCTACGCGTACCTTTTCTTCGTACGTAATCTTCTTCCGTGTATCCCGCTGCGTCTCATCGATCGTCCATGCTCCTTGCTTGCTGCCGCTGTGCTTCTCTTTGCGCTTTCCGTGATTCGTCGAATCATTCTGTTGCATCTCTCCTTCCCTCCTTAATCCTTTCAGATGTCAATGGCTCTCTGGCCTCGAGAAACCACACGGCAGATCACACGCTGACGTGGAAGGTCCTAGAAGCTAACCTGGTAGCTGGTCGATAATAGTCAACGCCAGTGAACGCTGAAGGGGCTCCAGTCGTCATCTCCTGGCACCTGGTGTTTCGTCTTCTCCGGAGTGCGGACAATATTGCGGGCTGCATTCTTTCTCAACGCGCTCTTCCCTATGGCCCCGTTCCGCTGGTAAGTTCCTATTCCACTTTGAGAACGACCTGCTCTGAGAGGGGTTTAAGGTTTTCTGAGCGAGTGGGTTCTGCGCTGAGAAGGCTCCCCTCTGAGTGAGTGAGTAGGGTTTTGTACTGATAGGGTTTCCTCTGATGCCACCAGTGCATTGTGTTGAGGCCTCAATGATTCAAATTTGCAACCGACCGAAGCATCGCCTGATTAATCAGGCTGTTAATGCGGTGTTCTAGATCAATAACATGAGAGGTCTTGGGTTCTTTCAATCTCCTCTCTGCTGCTTTTTGGCGGAAGAGGAAAGGATATCTTGAATGGGACAAAGTGACTCGAGGTGGGGAAATTGCTCGGCAAGGAGTAACGGGGAGGGAGGGATGGGAGACATAAGGGTGTATATCTAAGGGCCGTTTATCGCCTCTGAGCCCTGAGATTTTCGTGGTTTTTCTTTCCTCTTGAGTCCTATCGCCTCTGTGATTATGCAAACTGTTATTAGCTCTAGCTGATTGCCATGATGAGAAAGACTAGATATCCATCGGATGAGAGGCGCTGACTCAAATGGTTGCTCTCTCTCTCTCCCTCTCTCTCTCTCCCCCTCTCTCTCTCTCTCTCACTCACTCACTCTCTCTCTCTCCTCACTCTCACTCACTCTCCTCATTCTCACTCACTCTCCTCTCACTCTCACTCACTCTCCTCTCACTCTCACTCACTCTCCTCACTCTCACTCACTCTCCTCTCACTCTCACTCACTCTCTCACTCTCCTCTCACTCTGACTGTATCATCTCACTCTTTTTACCCCTGCTCGCAAGCTCGCAATCCCTCAGTTCTATGTTTCTGGTTCACTCAAACGTACATCAAGTCTGTCAGTGCCTGAGACCAGTGATTAGATCACAGTTTAATTAACCATCTTTCGGGACATATCGAGGGTCATCCGCCCTCCTGATGATGTCTGCTGAGGAATGAGGTCTTCTGGTAACTTGAATCATTTAGTGGTCACTCACTATTGGTTGGAACATTTATTTATTACTTACAAATTCTTCCAATGCACAAGCATCTCTGGTGTCATGAAAGGGAGGCACGTACCTAACTGAGGTGTCCTGCTGTTGTCTCTATACTTGGTTTCATTGCAGGTCAAAGGCGGACTCATCCTGTGAAAGCTTCTGCTGTAAGGAGGACCCACATCAACACATTGTTCCTGATAAGTTGAAGCTTACAAGTTTGGTGCAATATTAAATGTCGATTTGGTACCCTACATGTAACTGCCGAGTAGTGCAGATGGTGATGTCAAAATTGTTTTGTCACGACTCGCTTTTGACACGATATAAGAAATGAGACGAGGCAATGCAGGAACCCCTAAGCTAATCCTGGTTTTAGGATGAGACGGTTCGGGTAAGCTTCGGAGGACCAAGTGTCAAAGCGAGATCCGAGAAGGCACAGAAGAAGGTTTGGCTCGCACGGTCCAGGGTACAGTCGCAGCGGTTGACTGTTGGGGTCATACGCCCTGTAGAAGCCTCGGTAATGAATTGCTATATATGGATCCCTAAGTTCCAGCTTCGCTCAATGTGAGTGAGTTTGAGCGAAACAAATGTCAGCTTTGGGACAATGTACAGCTGTCCTTCCTTACTGTTTCGTCGAAACAGTCCAGATATTCGGACAGACTGACATTGCGAAACTCGCCTGCTCTTGCCTCCTACAGACAGTCCTACATACCAGTTGTCACGACTCGCTTTGACCACTCTAGGCGAAAAGTCGAAAATCCTTTCGGCGTATCAAACTTGCCACACGTCAATGTCGTGCGGCAACTTCCTTGTTTCCTACGTGACAGCTGAGTAACCATGTGCTGAGAGAAGCTCAAACATTCCGTCCAAAGCACTCGAGCCGCGCGAGTAGCTGTAGATTTCCGCCAAATGTTTTGTTTGCTCGGGGGATGTTACATTTCTGTATGACGATTTCGAATCACGTGAAATACAAAATCGTTTGGTAGCGTATTACAGGTGTAACGTGACACCAACCTGTCACCGAGCCTGGGTCATTTGGTGTTCGCTTGGCTCGGACCGAACCAATCAACCGCGTCCCACCACCTGCTCCGAAGGTGATGTTGGAGGGAGGCCACCTGCGGCTCCGCGTTTTGTTTGGAATCGTTCAGTTGACAGCTTCCAGCAACAGTTGGGGCGAATCATGCATAGTTGGCTGAAGGATGGACCGTCAGAAGCTGCTCGGTGGCCATCGACAGTTAAGCGGTGTTCTTGTTTAGCTAAGAGCGCTGTTTGGCACTGTAGGAAAATCTCATGGAAACGCAGATTTCATTGAAGAGCCCAGCTCAAAAACCCGTGGCACCAAATCCATGGATCCACTCAGAACTCACGTTTTTTCGGTGGCAGGAGCTATGGTATCCTCATTGCACGTTGGCCACTGCGCCAGCTAAAACTTACCTCGGTAGAAGCTAGGATGGCAAACACGGGATGGTTTTGATGCAGTGGTGCCCCAGCCCACGATTTACGGTAACGGTTTTTGGACGGATGGTGTTTCCTGGTCCGTGAGCATCGTTGACTGAGTCCACGCAGGGTCTCCTCCTACGAAGCCCCCTGGCAGCCCTCAGCGCGTCTCCGAAGAAACGAGAGGCAAGGCACGGCCGTCGGATCGTCGAGCCACATGTAAATTCATGCGAACCGTCGGATTGGAACGTGGAATGCATTGCGGCGTCTCTCGGCTCGCCTTGGCTGCACCATATAGTCTAGAGGTTGACCTGTCAACGACGCCAAAATCATTTCTTTCCCATTTCCCAACGTGGGCCGTGTGTGAATGCTTCTCCTCCCTTCTCTTGCCCCACTTATCCTTTTCTCCTCACCCAGCAACCGACCATTTTCTTTTGGTTTGTTTTTCGAAATCCTTCCAGTACCCACGACCTCAGCGCGTTGACGATGGTCTTCCCCTAGCCTTGCTAGCTCACCCCCAATCTCACCACCGAGAGAAAGCCAGCGCAGCAAAGGAAACCCTACCGTCCATGTCATCCAGCACAGCCTGTTCGTGGAGTCCGCGCATGGACCAATACCAGCACAACCAGCAGCAACAACAGCAGCAGCAGCAGCAGCAACTTCAGCTGGCCTTGTTCCAGGAGCAACTCCTCTTGTCTCCAACCCACAGATCCCCTCACAGACCTCCCGTCAGCAACGACGCCTCTCGTCTGCCATTCCCACCCGCGCTAGATTTACCCTCCGCTGAGTTTTTTCCCGACGAGGCCTCTCCCTGCTGGATTTGGGCGCAGCAGCAGACAACCTTCGCAACGTCGTCGGCGCCAGCAATCCCCGCCGCAGGCTCCGCCGCGTTTGCCGCGCAAACAGGCCCAGCGCCAGCCATGGCGACGGCGGTGGCGACGCAAGCGACGTGGGAGACTGCTCCCGCCGCCAACTGCGGCGCAGCTAGCGCGTTCCGAACCGCACCGAACACCACCGCCGCACCCGCCGCTTCCGCTTCCTTCTGCTCCTCATCCGGCGTAACCTTCCCCACAGCCCCCGCTTCCCCTTCCTTCGCGACCACTCCTTCCGCCACTGCAGGCCTTGCGCCACCAGCTTCCGCCGCTTCCGCGCCTTCCGCCTACGCGCCTTCCGCCTCCGCGCCGTCCCCGCCTTCCCTCCCCGTGGCGCAGCTGGAGGAGCTCCTCCAGGACGAATGCGGAGTCCTCGAGATCTCCATCCCCCAGCGCCGCTTCCCCTCATCCTTCCCCCCATCCTTCCCCTCATCCGCGGGCGTGGGGAGCCTCGCGTCAACCCTCCCCACCGCGGGGACCCCCGCGGATCTGCGCGAGCAGGGGCTGCATCTATTCGCGAGCCTGCTTCCGCTTCTCTACACGCCGCGCTGCGCCGCCACCGCCGCCATCGCCGCGTCGCCCGCTGGCGAGGCGCTCAAGCGCGCGCTCGCGTCGTCGCCGACGGCTGCCGGCGTGTTCGAGGCGTTTGCCAGCCGGCCGCTGCCGTCCCCCGCGCCGCTCGCGTCGCCGATGCTTTTCGAGCAGTTTCAGCAGCAGATGCAGCAATGGGCCGTGCCGCAGGTAGAGCAGCAGCCCGCGCCGCAGGTGAAGCAGCCCGAGCCGCAGGTGTCGGAGTCCGTCGCCGCGCCGCAGACGGATGAGGATATGGACGACGCGCTTCCGGAGATCGAGAGCCCGAACAGCGTCGACGTTTCGTCGCCCGACCGTGACTTTGACGAGAGTAGCCTTAACGAGAATGACTACAACGAGGTCGCGGATTCCGCCGCCATCCCCGCTGCCGCCGCCGCCGCCGCCGCCACTCCCGCCTCCTTTGCTGTTCCTATTCCGTCTCCGCCAACCGATCTACCCGCCGCTAGCGCTGTCGTCTCCGTCGCTATTCCTCTCGGCGCTCCCACCGCTACGACTGCCGCGAAGCCGGAACCAGCATCCTCGACGGAAGAACCTTCCGAGAAGGCGCAGAAGGCGCCCGCAGCGGCATCTCCGGCGGCGGCGGCTTCCCCGGCGGCTCCCGCCGAGCCGCTGGACGACGGCTACTTCTGGCGTAAGTACGGGCAGAAGGCGGCGAAGGGCGCGGCGTATCCGCGCGCGTATTTCCGCTGCGCCGTGCCCCGCTGTCCCGCCAAGAAGACGGTCGAGCGGTCGTCGGAGGATGGGAGTACGATGGAGATCGTTTACCGCGAGGAACACAATCATCCACGTGGCACTCTCCCCGGCCGCCGCGTGTCCCCCACTTCGCAGGGCGGTGCGGGAGCTGCGGGCGGAGCGTCCGGCCGCGTTTTAGTCACGGAGGAGATGGGCGGGTTTTGCAGCGGGTGTGACGGGATCCCGCCTTCCCCGGTTAAGCCGCGTCAGTCCCAGCAGCAGCTTCCGCAAAACTCCGCTGTGCCGCAGCCCCAGGCTCCCCCCGCCGCCGCCGCTTCCCCCGCCTGCCCCGCTTCCGCGGATCTCGCCGCTTCCGCCTTCCCCGCCTCCGCGGATCCTTCCACCGCAGCGGGGCTCGCGCTGCTGGAGAGCCTCAGCACGGAGGATCTCGCGCGGCTCGTCTCGGCGCTTTCCTCCGACGCTATGGCTGCTGCCACCGCCGTGCTCGAAGCGGCGGTCGCCGCCGGCGTCATGGACAGCAGTTTAGGCGTCGCTGCCGCCGCCGCCGGGGCCGCCGCTGGGGGAGACGCGCACGCGCAGACCGCCGCCGCCACCGCCGCCGCCAAGGATCTCGCTGCTGCTGCTGTTAACGCCACCGCTGCAGTTACCGCCGCTACCGCTGCTGCGGAGGTGGCTCGCGGGCATATGATCCGATCCGCCTCCGACCGCGGAGCTCCGGCAGCAGCTGCAGGTTTGGCTGGAGGTTCGGCAGTAGACTCGGCAGCGGCTCGCGCGCTCCTTTTCCGGTCCGTTTCGGAACCTAAGGAGGAGTGCGATGATAATTCCTCTAGCGGGAATTACGGCGGGGAAGCCCCAGGATTCGCGGGGATTAACAGCGCAGCTGTTGCTGCGGTCGCTGCTCTTGCGCGCGGTTCCGCCTTAGCCGTCGAGCCGTCAAGTTGCAGCACGGGAAGCGCTAATAGCACGGGTAGCCGTCAAAAGCGCCGGTCGATGGAAGAAGAGAACACCGTCAGCCCAACATCCCCTAATCTTCACTCTGTGCCTTTAACGAAGGGTGCCTCCGCCGCGTTTAGCGAGGGTGGGAACGCCCCGGGAAGCATTTCCCCCGCTGGGGGCAGCGGCGGAAGGGGAAAAAGGTTGCGCACTGGAGGGAATTCCGGCGGGAGGGGGAGCGGGGGGCGCGGAAGCGGAAGCGGAAGCGGGGGAGCAAACGCAGACGGACAGACGGTTACGATGACGGTCGTGCAGGTCGAGGGAACCGGTCGCGATGTGGTTGGCGACGTGGAGGATGGTTACCGCTGGCGAAAATATGGCCAAAAGGCGATAAAAGCGAGCCCTTATGAAAGAAGTTACTTTAGGTGTAGCAAGGAGGGTTGCGGTGCACGACGGGTTATCGAAAGGTGCCCGGAGCAGCCCGAAGACGAGAGTGTAGCTGCGACACATACGAATCTGCTCGTGACTTATATCGGGGAGCATTCGCACGCGCGGCCGTTCCGAGCCAAGGTGATCTACAAGCCCGTTCTTGATGCTTCTCAGGAACCTTCCCTAGAGGAGAAACCCTCTGCTGACGTCAGCACTGCAGTAAACCCTAATGCTGCCGGTACTGCGTTGGGTTCTCCTGCTGTTCCGCAGACGCAGCATGAGCGAGCCTGTGAGCCGGAGATAACTGGAGCTGTAGGGGAGATGCAGGACAGGGGGGAAGCAGGCAGTGGTGCAGGCATGCAGCAGATGGCCATGCCACACCTGCAGGAGCTGAAAATCGAAGATTTCTCCTTTGACGACCTTCCCAGGCTATGGTGAAGCTTTCTACAGTGATGCTGATGGTTATAACGAATCAGCCAAGGCTGTTCTTATGGCATCAGGGACTGGGTTTCGGGTTTTTGTTCAGGGTTTAGTTCTAAGGCATGTACAGCCTTCCATCCATCCACCCGCTCTGGCTGTGGGGACGGATGGCAGGCTGTACCCCTTATAAGTTGGTGTTCTTACCGTTTCTGTGCTACTTTGCTGGCTAGTACAGCCTTCCATCCATCCGCCCCCTGTGTGTGCGGATGGATGGCAGGCTGTACCACTCTCTTTGTTATGATTTCTGCTATTTTCTATGCTATATTTGAACTTGAAACCCCCGAGTCATTGGTACAGGAACACACCAAACGATTGAAGCCCTTCGGCAGAAAAAACGTAGGGGCACCCAACCAGGGCTCCCGTTATCAGACCAAATCGGTCTGATGGTCTGAAAATCAGACCGGGTTTTTATGTTTCATCTGATTTTTTTACGAGCCAAATATATTCGTCTGATCGTTCAGACAAGTTATAAGAATTCGTCTGAAACATTGTTGGAAATATCTCAAGGACTTAAGCGTTTCTGAAGTGTAACACTGTACTCGAGGAAGATTACAGGGGAGCACGCGAGTCAACGGAGGTTACACGAGGGGGCGGACAAAGAATGCGAAAGGACTCGAAAGGTCGCAACTGGAGGTTGCGACTGACCGTTACAACATCACGGATGGTAACCGAAGCGGCAATCGAGTCGCTGTGCGACTCGATAAACCGTTCCTGTAACTGTATTCTACAACTGCTTCCTTATCTTCTATATATTGCTGTATGCTTGTTTCTTTAATCAATCACTTGTTCTCACATACTAGTACAAGGGTTCAACTGCCTCAACTTCCGCTGCACTACTCCAAGTCTCAAGTCTCTACAGCTGGGACTTAGTCTCTGCAAAAGATCCTAAGGGCTTTTCTCAGCCCAACATGGTATGAGAGCTGGTCAGAGATCAAAACTCCCAGCAACTACACTCCATCAACAACCAGCAACTCAACTTGATTCAACAACTCCATTGATTACAAGACATGGACAACAAGGGCAAGAAAGTCTCTACGGGCTCACCCAGCGCCCAAGAAACTCAACACGGCAACTCTGGTCTGCACACCTCAGGACTGCAGACAGAGACCGGGACTACTCAAGAAACAACGGGAAGAGTACCAGAGATGGTGACTCCGTCTCCCTCTTCAAGTGTGGACCCGAATCTCATGGAGAGATTCTTCAGCTTCATGTCACACTTCGACCAGCAGCAGCAGACAAGGACACCTGCGCACTCAACACAGAGCAATGGAGGGAATATGGGATTAGCGCCGATGAGCCTCGACAACTCATCCTTCGGGCGACACAACCAAGCGCCTACCTTTGCGCCTTATCATTCTTCGCCGGGGACGTTCGAATTCATGCCGCCCCGTGCCCAGCCAACAGCAGCTGCTTCACAACAAACACCGAATGAAATCTTAAGTTTACAGGCGCAGTTCTCACACGTGATCAAACTTCAGACATCCTCACCGTTCAACGGACACGACTTCTTTACCTGGAGCTTCGAGTTTGAGCTGCTGATGGAGGCCGCGCATCTTCTAGGATACTTCAACGGGTCCCTGCCATTCCCAAGCAACGGCACTGGGAAGGAACAAGAGATCTTCACGTATCAGTCGCTGCTGGCGTACACGGTACTCCTGAGAAACCTGTCACCACAAGAGCAGCAGAGCATCAGAACGTATCGGAGTTATGGAAACTCCGCGGAGCTCGCATGGCACCACCTCAAATGCCTTTACCAAGCAAACGACAGCGTGACACAAAGCAGACTCATGCAACAGCTGACAACAATACAGATGAAGACCGGGGAAAAGGCGATGCAGTATATGAGTCGCTGCCAGACCCTCCGCGACCGCCTGCTTCGGTGCGGAGGAACGATCACTGAAGAAAGCTTCGTGACACTTGTCCTCGCCGGGCTCGGGCCAGAATGGAGAACCACACGATCACTTCTTCGAGCCCACGGAAGAATTTCGGAGATGCACCTCTGCGCCGAGCTTCACGCTGAACAACAGGAGATGGATCTGTTCGAGGAAAGACAACCAAGGAAGCAACAGCAGTTAGTCTTCTACACTCAAAGAAGAAATGACAACAACTACAACCGACGCAGCAAGCAAGATCAACGCGACAACCGAGGACTCACCATCGTGCCGCCGTTCTGCCACAACTGTCAGACTTCCGGGCACTCCAAGGTCAACTGCAACCGCCCTCGCGTTTACCGTGCAGCAGACCCACAAGTCGCTTCCACTCAAGCAAGTCCTCCAAGGCGTTCTTCAACATCTGCACAACAAACACCCAACATCATCAACTGCATGGTACACATCGACAACTGCGCACCCGCTTCACCACCCACTTACGCACCAGACGAAGAGGAATTCCCGCCGCCGCGCTCGCAAGGACTTCAGGTCAACCCGACATACGCTGCAGTCGCTAACGCCGAACCCACCGGGCGGAACACCTGGTTCTTGGACAGTTGCTGCGGTCAGCACATGTGCTCCTCCGGACGCTTCGTACAACACGAGCGACGCCTCAACCGCGACGTCGTCATCACCGTCGCCAACAACGAAAACCTGAAAACAAACAGGCAAGGCGTGGTTCAGTTACAATCAATGGAGACAAACGTTATTCTTCAGCTCAACAAAGTCCTCATCGTCGACAATCTGGGATACAACCTACTAAGCGTAAGCCAACTAATGGCTAAGGGGATTCACCTGGAGTGCGACTCCTTCTCCAACGAGTTCCGACTTTACCACGGGAAGGGCGGTCTCTTCATCGGTCGTGCCCTCCTGAAGTCCGGTGTCTTCGTGTTGGACTTCGTCCCCGACCGCGGAACTGCCGACAGCGATGGCATCGTATCGTTCGCCGCCTGGACTCACCCACCAGATCTTGATCCCGACTTCGACAGCGACGGCTTCTGGCACTCCAACACCATACCTGCAGCAGAGAGAACACGGGCATTAGCAGTTATCAGACAAGAAAGACAAGTACCAGCAAGCGTCCCAACAAAACCATCACCTGCAGTATCGGCAGCAGGACCCAGCCGAGTACCACCACCATCAACACGAGGACCGCCAACGGAAGCAGACCAACTTATGCCCGCCACACGAGAAGCTTGTCGAAGTCCCGCCTCGGTCGTCGCGTTCTTCTCCAACGCCGACATCTACCACCGCTCGCCCGGTCACCGCGCTCCCGACGACATCTGGCACCAACGTCTCGGACATCCTGCAAACAGCACGATACTACAAACAATACAAGCAGAGGTGTTAGAACGTAACGCCCTTCTAACGACGAGCGGCCAAGAACTTCGCCGACCAAGAGCACGATGCTTCACGTGCCCCGAAGCAGATCTTCCTCATCAACCTTTCCCAGCCCATCACAATCCAAGTGCACCCACTTACGCTCCGATGGAAAAGGTCTACAGCGATATTCTAAACATGCCTCGAGACGACACCGAAGCCGACTTCAACTACGTCATCACGTTCATCGACGCCGCAACCAGATACGTCTGGCACTTCAATCTCAAAACGCGCGATCAAGCCTTCGAGGCCTTCACCACATGGCTTCCAATCGCCGAACGAGAGTCAGGAACCAAACTCAAGAGTTTCCAGTCAGACGGTGCACTGGAATACCAGTCACAACGCTTCAGGACCTATCTCGCGGAAAGGGGAATCCGACGCCTGGTGTCTCTGCCCTATGCTCACCAGCAGCAGGGGGTAGCAGAACGCATGAACCGGACCTTGCAGACGACGATGCGAAAACTGCTTCTGGGGATGAGGCTGCCCAATACACTGTGGCCAGACGCGATGACACATGCAGTCCACCTGCACAACCTGTTGTCCTCGTCATCGCTCCCCAACAACGCATCACCGCACCTGCTGTGGACGGGAAAAAGGGGCAGCACAAAATTACTTCGAGTTTTCGGCTGCATGGTACAATACAGACCCCACACAGCTCGAGCAGGACGCTTCACTCAACGAGCTCGGTGGGGACTACACCTCGGCATCGCCAAACATTTTCACGCGTGGAAGATTCTCGACATACACGACAAAAATACGGTGGCATCACGTGATGTTATCTTCTACGAGCGACTGACGCTGCAGCATTACCTGGACAACATTGCCAACTCAGACGACCCCACCGACGGCTTCGCGGGCCTTCGCTCCTTCGCTGACCATGCTGCCGAGGCTGACGCAGCAGAAGAAGACGTCCCTGGAGCCTCGGAGGCTGCCGGACCACTCCCCTACTGCTCCGTACCTGTTCCACTCGATGAAGATAATCCTCTCGATAGCAACAACCTCGACACCTTTTACCACTTCGCTGACCAAGGCTACGCTACACCACACCCCGTCGACTCGAATATTTCCGAACGCATCGGGCCAAACTTCTTACCCGATCCTGAAGACGGTGATGAAGCAGCTTATCCCGAGAATGAAAACTCCCCTCGACACACAGCCACGGGACTGCAGATCCTAGGACTATGGGTCTCCGTCCAGCACCCGCCGCCGCCTTCTCCGCGCGAGCCGTCGACCCTGTCGCAGGCTCTGGGGGGGAACATAAGGCACAATGGAAGGAAGCGATGGAAAAAGAGTTAAAAGCTCTGCAAGACCGAGAAACATGGAAACTGGTACCTGCAACGAGCATCAACGGGAAGAACATTCTCTCGGGGAAATGGGTGTACCGCATCAAGACCAACTCAGACGGCTCCATCGAACGATTCAAAGCTCGATGGGTCGTACGAGGCTTCGATCAACGATACGGAACCGACTACACAGAAACCTTCGCTCCAGTCTCCCGTCACACCTCTCTGCGCATCCTACTCGCCATCGCGGCCACGAAGAAACTACCACTACGGCAAATCGACGTTGCAAACGCCTTCTTGTACGCACCTGTGGACGCCGAAATCTTCGTCGAACAACCCCACGGATTCATCGACGACCCTTCAAAAGTATGCCAGCTGGAAAAATCCCTTTACGGGATCAAGCAAGCCCCACGGCTCTGGCAGCAGCACCTTCACGGCCGGCTCGTAAAAATCGGATTCCTACAGCTACCACATGACCAAGGCATGTACCGACTACAGAAGGGAAGAGATTACATTCTGCTCATCGTCTACGTCGACGACCTGCTCTACATCGGTTCTACCACCGACATCGTCACCTGGTTTGAAGGGGAGCTGAAAAGGGACCTGACGCTCACGGTGTCCGACGAGGTGACGCAGTACCTAGGACTGAACGTCGTCGAAGACGACACGGCGTTCTACCTACACGCTGGAAAGT